ATACTCCACCGATAAAGTCCTTTCAAGCGACGGCAAGGTCAATGATCTTGTGACCTTGACTGTGACCTATATGCTAAAAATAGCTCTTTACACTTTTTGCCATAACTTTTGAACCATAGGAGATAGGGACTTCATATTTAGTATGCACACTCCACTGATTAAGTTCTTTCAAATGACACCATGGTCAATGACCTTGTGACCTTGACTGTGATCAATATGCTAAAATTAGATTTTTTGAACTTTGTTGCCGCCGGGCGCATAGTGTTTCACAAACACATCTTGTTTTTAATTCATGTCATTGTTATTCATCCAGTCTAATTTTAGATCCACTTTTACGATATTAGCTCCTTTTCTTATACATACATAATGTTGATCAAGGACAGATAAGTGAAAATTCTCTGTATCGGAAAACCGTAATGACAATTAAACATGAGATTAATTATTCTATTACAGTCTAAAATTATTTTTATGCCCCGCCATGAATATGGCCGGGGCATTTAGTGTTTGTCATGTCCGTCTTCAGTCCTTCTATCTTTTTGTCCTTCTGTCCTTCCGTCCTTCTGTCCTTCCGTCATACTTTGCGTTTAGCTATGCTCAAAGCTAAGTTTCAAAGAAACCATCCAAGATATTTTATCAAACTTCATATACTGATAGATATTTATGAGAGCTATGCAACTGCATCTACATTTTTTACCTTGACCTTTCCTTTGACCTTGACCTCACTTTTGTTAAATTAGTGTTTAGCTCAGTTTTAAACATACCATTCAAGACGAATTTATCAAACTTCACATGTTGATACAAACTGGCATGGATAATGCATCTCGGGATGAACACTACCAGACTTGCTTCGGATGCTGGATCTGACCTACATTTTCCAGATGAGTGACCAGATTTATGTTTTTGGAGCAGGTCTATTCCTAAGGAATTATAGGCCCTACTTTGACCAAACTTGCATGGATGATGCATCTAAGGATGGACACTACCAGACTTGCTTCGGATGCTGGATTTGACCTATATTTTTATTCCTAAGTAGCTTTAAGCCCTACCTGAACCAAACTTGCATGGATGATGCATCTAGGGATGGACCCTACCAGACTTGCTTCGGATGCTGGATCTGACCTATATTTTCATTCCCAAGTAACTACAAGTCCTACGTGAACCAAACTTGCATGGATGATGCATCTAGGGATGGACACTACCAGACTTGCTTCGGATGCTGGATCTGACCTATATTTTCATTCCCAAGTAACTATAAGCCCTACCTTAACCAAACTTGCATGGATGATGCATCTAGGGATGGACACTACCAGACTTGCTTCGGATGCTGGATCTGAGCTATATTTTCATTCCCAAGTAACTATAAGCCCTGCCCGAACCAAACTTGCATGGATGATGCATCTAGGGATGGACACTACCAGACTTGCTTTGGATGCTGGATCTGACCTATATTTTCATTCCCAAGTAACTATAAGCCCTGCCTGAACCAAACTTGCATGGATGATGCATCTAGGGATGGACACTACCAGACTTGCTTCGGATGCTGGATCTGACCTAAATTTTCATTACCAAGTAACTATAAGCCCTACCTGAACCAAACTTGCATGGATGATGCAACTAGGGATGGACACTACCAGACTTGCTTCGGATGCTGGATTTGACCTATATTTTTATTCCTAAGTAACTATAAGCCCTGCCTGAGCCAAACTTGCATGGATGATGCATCTAGGGATGGACACTACCAGACTTGCTTCGGATGCTGAATCTGAGCTATATTTTCATTCCCAAGTAACTACAAGTCCTGCCCGAACCAAACTTGCATGGATGATGCATCTAGGGATGGACACTACCAGACTTGCTTCGGATGCTGGATCTGACCTATATTTTCATTCCCAAGTAACGATAAGCCCTGCCTGAACCAAACTTGCATGGATGATACATCTAGGGATGGACACTACCAGACTTGCTTCGGATGCTGGATCTGATCTATATTTTCATTCCCAAGTAACTATAAGTCCTACCTGAACCAAACTTGCATGGATGATGCATCTAGGGATGGACACTACAAGACTTGCTTCGGATGCTGGATCTGATCTATATTTTCATTCCCAAGTAACTATAAGTCCTGCCCGAATCAAACTTGCATGGATGATGCATCTAGGGATGGACGCTACCAGACTTGCTTCGGATGCTGGATCTGACCTATATTTTCCAAACAAGCAATTCAGCTGCATCACTATTCAAGATATTCTGATCAAATTTTATACACATTCAAATTTTCATGTTGCTCTACTAATACATCCTCGGCGGGGCATTCATGTCTTATGGACATATTTCTAGTTAACATTTTAACTAGGTGTCAAATGGGCATACTTCTGTAGAAAATATTTAAAAGTGAAATTAAGTTTACATTTAAAAGCAACAGAAGCGATCGAAAAATACCCAAAACACAGCGTTAAGTACAGTCTTCCTATGTCACGATGTATTCTTGGCCTTAGAGCTCCCATCTATTAAAAACACTGTGTTGTGTACCTTAGACAAGAAGAGATAGTTAGAAAAAATGAAGCAAAAGTATTGGTTGCTAAAAAAATCTCTTGTCAAGAACCAATGTTGTAGATAAAAATTTGCACGTCGGGGAATTACTCTAGTGCAAACAGCATGGTCTCTAGGTCACTTCAAAGTTGACCAGGAATTACATGAATTTCAGTAAAATGTTGATATTTTGCTTGCTATAAGGACTATTTGTCAGTCATATCACGTTGACTCAAAAATAGGTAAAGATGACTTACTTTATAAATATTGTGGCCATTTTTTTTTACAAATGATTTAGAGGCATATTTCGAACAATTTCATTTCTATGCTCATCAAACTTTCTTAGTTGATGCATCATAGGCAGGGTTGTGGATAACCACTCACTCACGAGCAAAAGAAGATAAAATTTGCTATGGGAGAATAGATATTAAAAAAAGAACTTAGACGAAGATTAATTCTGTTAATAACTTTCAATATATTAAAAATGGTTTTCATCTTTTTTTCAAAGGAATGAATTAAAATATGTTTAACATTGGCAAATTTTAATAGAATCATTAATTTTGCAAAATTTTTCAATCATCTGCAGTTTTTTGGTCTTAGTCGTAGGTTCTTATGTATAACGGCCCACACAGAGAATGATTTTTCCCCAGAACGCAATCAAATTTCAGTTTTATTTTTGATGTACTTTCTATTTCTGAACAAAAGCTCTACTAACCAAATTAATTATTCATATTGCGTGCAAGCATATTTGTCAAATATGTACATGACCATGGTGACTTTGATCAAACATGGCGTTTTATCGATGCGGTGATAGGGAAAAGACAACTAATTAATTTTCCATAGAACTCAATACAAACCTTAGGTCCTCTCAGTTCTTTACTATGACAATTTCAGAGAAATCAGTAGCATCAATTACAGGGCTCTTGATTATCTATAATTATGTGCCGTTTATAGGCAACAATCCATAATCAAAAAACTACCTTTATCCCAATTAAATGTGTTAATTTTCGCAAAAGTCATTTCTCCCAAAATTTACAGAAAGTTTAGCTGGATATGTAATAATTAAGTTTGTTTTTTTTTTCACATTCCTCTATATTGCAAAGCAAAAATTTAGTTGATAACAAAGGTCAGAAACCCAGTATATCATGATTATAAAGAATGATGATTATCTAAAAAAAATTTCCAAAATGTCGCTTTTTTTCCCAATTTTGACGGACCCGATCAATTTCCAAAAATTGGTGTTAAGAGTGCTACATTTAAATCTTCCTTCTTAGCCCTTACAAAACAATAATGAAAAAAAAAATATATGGTCCCATGGCGTTTATAGGACAATATTGCAGTTATTTTCAACTTATAGCAGTAAATAACACACTACATAAAAAAGCATTAATTATTACAGTAATCATATATAAAATCTATATAAAACATGTATGTGTTCATGTGATACTGTTAGATACATGTACACGGCTTTCTACTATCTTTGACCCTGGGTTCAATCTCCAGCAGATGCATATAAATGTCTCTGTTTAATACAATCATTTATGGCACGTATCGGTTCCTTGCGGATGTGACCAATAAATTCATGGTCAGTAGACAGGAATCATGAATCTGTTCAAAGAGGGTGTTACCATTGAAACTGACTAAACTCCTCCGAATACAATGCTTACTGTACAAAAGTACACTACATCATGATATATTTTCTCTCCAAATCAGATGTCATAGAAAAAGCCGTAGATACTGAAAGAAGATACGTAAAATTATTTTAACAATTTAAAAACAGCATCTCCTACAATTTATATTATTTTTTTTTAATAAGTTTATGCTTAGGCAATAATAATGATTATTTCGTTTAATTTTGTTAGAGTGGTGTAAAACTATAAAAAAGTATTGATTGAAGTTCTGATACAACATTTTTTATCATGGTTGTAAGTAAAAGGCAGTAGTTCTAACCCTTATCAGACAAACGTGTTTGTTTTTAGTTTTACCTATCAGAGACCAATAGAGATTATGCAAAAGTAAGTTATCCGTCATCTGTCCATCTGTGTAGTTAGCTGTCTGTCCGTAAAAAAGAAATCAAAAGACTACCTCACCCTGAGGTTTTGGCTGAATACAGTATAACTCGGCACACATGTAGACTACATTAAGACATATAATTCTATATAAGGGATTCTGATTTCGATGAACAGTGTTGTTATGGTTACTAAAAATAGAAAATTCTGTGAAATATTTTCAAAATGCTACTCCTCCTAAAGTTTTGGTCTGATTTCAATATAACGTGGCACATGTGCAGATTGTATACCTAAACGTATACATTATATTTATTGCTTCTACAAAAATTTAAATCAAAGTGCTACTTTCCTTTTCCTTTGTCATAAGTACTAACCAGTAAAGTCACACTCTCATTAGAGAACTCTAGTTTTATTATTACGCTTTATTTGTTCTGTTTAAACTTACTTTTTTGTTTCTTTTAGACTACTTGAAGTTTTGGATTACCTCAATCAAGACATTTGGAGGCAAAAAGGCACCACTGTTTCTTGTTGTCACACACACGGAAACAAAATCTACAGATGTAAGTATTCTTTCTTAAACAAATGTAAATTATAAAAGGAATGAAGATATCTCCAACCTATCATGAGAATGTACAAGTACTGCCATATTTCAGAAATACACAAACAAAAAGATTTTTGGCCTATTAGGTCATAAGATTGGTTACTGTCTTAAGAAAATGAATTGGTGTCTATTTTTCTTGATGACTATTGGCAAAATGTGGATAATAATGCTTGTCTTTGATATTGGTAGCTTACCTGAGCTGCAAACTTAAGTGAGCTTTATGGATCATCCGTTGTCCTGTGGCCATTCATCTGTCTCTTTATCTGTTGTTCCTCTTTAAAATTTTCCTATGTTTTACCTCTGAAGTACCATGGTATGGGCCAAAAATTAACCAAGTTGTTACAAATTATCTTTCGCTTAGGTAAAATTTAGATATATTCACAAATTATGTGTTTTATTTTCATAAATAATTTTTTTATAAAAAACATTAAAAAGTCTTATCAGACTTTCTTTACATATTTTATCAGGTGTTTATGTGATGCATTCATTTACAGAAAAATTTTTACAAAAAAGAATCTAATTTGGATGATTTTTTTTTTTCATTTTCTTTGAAAAAATACAAAAAATTCATATAAGATAATTTAGAGCTAATGTTGGCCTTTCAATGCTGAAACCATTGTTTGAAAAGGTTGACTCAGATATCTATAAGATAAAAAGTTGGTGTAGTATTCCTCCTTAAATATAGAATGTTTCATAGTAGGATGATCAAGGTGAAAACCCTGTTGAAATCAAGATTTTTCTCTTCCAATTATGATTACTTTTTATACCACCTGCAAACGAAGTTTGGGGGGGGGGGTATTTAGGAATCACCTTCTCTGTCTGTCTGTCTGTCTGTCTGTTTGTCTAGCTATCCGTCTGTCTGTGCAATCGTGTCCGGTCCATATCTTTCTTAGAGAGGGACATTAGAATCTACTACTCCACACTAAGATTGCCCATGACCCAAGGGTGTGTCATGACCTTGACCCAAGGTCATTTGTGGAAGTTCAAGGTCACTGGAAGAAAAATTTCATAATTCGTGTCCGGTCCATATCTTTCTTATTAATAAACTTGATAGGTTCTTATTTCACACAAAGATTGCCCATGATCCAAGGGTGTGTCATGACCTTGACCTAAGGTCATTTGGAGAAGTTCAAGATTACTGGAAGAAAAATTTCAAAATTCATGTTTGATACATGTTTTTTATGGATAAACTTGGTAGGTTCTCATTTCACACAAAAACTGCCCATGATCCAAGGATATGTCATGACCTTGACCCAAGGTCATTTGGGGAAGTTCAAGGTCACTGGAAGAAAAAGTTCATTATTCGTGTTCGGTCCATATCTTTCTTGTGGATAAACTTGGTAGGTTCTCAATTCACACAAAGATTGCCCATGACCCAAGGGTATTTTGTCCCATTTGGACAGTTCTAGTTTAAAATTAATTTTTTATAAACAAAAATCTTCATATTTTTATTTGATACGTAAAAGTCATACATATTTTTTTTTTTTCATTCCCAGTGTAATTTTATAACAATGACCCAAAAAAGCTGTGATGCTAAGATATTAAGTATATGTTTAAAGACAAAAGAGATATAAAAAAAACATAATTTCTCAAATTTCGAATGACCTTGACCTTTGACCTTTGCATTAATTTTATGATCAAAGGTCAATGAATCTTATGCAGTTGGTCCCATGTCTCTATCACTTCTTGTTTTGAAAATATTTAATTATTTCTAAAATTAAGAAAGTTTCAGGGGCAATAACTCATTGAAGGGGTCACGAAATACTTTCGCAATGAATAGATTCCAGAGTCCTTTCAATTAGTCGAAGACTTTAGTGAAGGTTTCATATTTCTACGGTTTACAGTTTCGAAGGATTAGCGATAACAAGGTTTTTCGTACAAAGGGCGATAACTTTTAATAGGGTCAATCTTAAGGAATACGAATTAAATCTTGAAAATAGTTTTAAGAGTACATATTAATGATGCTAAGACAGTTTGTATATGTTAAAAGACAAAACAGATATAAAAAGAGCTTAATTTCTCAAATTTGGAATGACCTTGACCTTTGACCTTTGCATGAATTTCATGATCAAAGGTCAATAAATCTTATGCAGTTGGTCCCATGTCTCTATCACTTCTTGTTTTGAAAATTTTTAATTATTTCTAAAATTAAAAAAGTTTCAGGGGCAATAACTCATTGAAGAGGTCATCAAATACTTTCGCAATGAATAGATTCCAGAGTCCTCTCAATTAGTCGAAGACTTTAGTGAAGGTTTCATACCTTTACGGTTTACGGTTTTGGAGGAGTAGCGATAACAAGCATTTCTTGCGAAAGGGGCAATAACTTCGAAAGCAGTCATAGTTCATACGCGTTGGGTCAAATTTGTTCCTAACTTTTAATGACCTTTACGATGAACAAAGAGTCTTTTCGATAAATGTCGAAACAAAAAATCAGCGGAAGAAAAATAAGAATAATAATAAACATAAGCAAATCAATAGGTCTTTCCACAGAAAGGTGGAAAGACCTAATAATAATAAACATAAGCATTTCAAGAGGTCTTTCCACAGAAAGGTGGAAAGACCTAAAAATACTAGTAGACTAATTGTTCAGAGAACAATTAGAGGTCCTTTCCACCTTTCTAAGTGTTTCCTTGTCATTTGAATAAAAAAAAAAAATTAAAAAAAAAAAAATTATAAAGTGCTGCCAGCAGGATTCGAACTGTGGACCCTCAGATTGCCAGGCGAGCGCTCTATACACTACGCCACAGGCGCTCCGATGAAATTGTTTTCCGTAAACTAATAGTGTAGAAAAAGGAAGAAATAAAAGCACGTGGATTTAAATAAAAATAGTACAGAAACACGTGTATTTATTTGTTTGTGATGGAACATAGAGAGGAATAATGAATAGTTCTGAGAGAAACGATTGGTGGATAATGAAAATGGAGATTTCCTATGAAAAAAAACATTTGAGTTTGTTTATAGTTTGAATAGATTGAGTTAATCATACAGAGCTTATGATACATTCGAACTTCCGTGTCGGCACTGTGTTTACAATTTGTGAAAATATAGGCGCGTTCGTTTTGACAGAAATGGCGAACTCAGAGGTTAGATTAAATAATCATCTCTATTTGGATTGAATGAATAGTTATGAGCATAAATTAAACTTGAAATATGCATTTCATGAAGAAGACGGTGTCACGGAGAGCGTGCAAATTTATTTTATATGAAAAATCGCTATTTCCGAGTTTCAGCCGATTCATATTTAAATCTAAATAAAATTAAAATAAATTCCATACACCTAAGAAAGCAAGAATACTTGGTATTAAAATGTCGTAATAGAGCAGGAGAATCGAATGATTTTAACAATAATTGCAGAAATAGCCAATACGAGCTTTAATTAATTTTTATGTTCAGCAAGAACTTAATTTCAGACAGAAAAAAAATGCAGATTTTGCCGATATTCACTAGAATGTCAATATACTTTAGAGACTCACCTTAAAACTCTCAGGACACTTTTTTTCAGGTCTCTTCTTCCTTTTATTACGAATCTTATGTCGATATTTCGTTTCGTTTGACTTGTAGACATTTTCTCTAAGTTGGTGTTGATTTTATTTTATTTTATGGGGGGGGGGGTATTTTATAAGCATTTGTTAGAGTGATGGTTGTAAATACCTCCACGACCTTTAGCTTGATTGTGACCTTTGAGTCAATCGGGTCAAAGGTCAAGGTCATTTATCAAGGTCAAAGGTCAAGGTCATCAAAAAAAAAAACAGAGAGGTAAACTTGAGATTAACACTTGGTCTTAATCTAGATAAAGGTAATGAATATTTCTTTATGACCTTTTGAGTAAGGGTCAAGGTCAGAGGTCAAGGTCAATGCCAAATATCAAGGTCAAAGGTCAAGGTCATTTGGATATTAATCTTAAATTGACAATTTATCTACTTTTCCAATGACTTTGAACTTTGACCTTGACCTACTTTTCAAGGTCAAAGGTCATAAGATCTCATGCACTTGGTCCTATATCTTTACCACTTGTCATTTAAAAGTTTTTAATTTTTCTTGTAAACTTTAAAACTTTCAGGGGCAATTACTCATTGAAGGAGTCACCGAAGACTTTCGCAATGAATAGATTCCAGAGTCCTCTCAATTAGTCGAAGACTTTAGTGACGGTTTCATATTTGTACGGTTTACGGATTCGAAGTAGTAGCGATAACAAGGTTTTTCGCACAAAGGGCGATAACTTTTGTTAGGGTCAATCTTACGGAATACGAATAAAATCTTTTAAATAGTTTTAAGAGTACATATTATTTATGCTAAGACAGTTTGAATATGTTAAGAGACAAAAAATATATAAAAAGAGCTTAATTTCTCAATTTTGGAATGACCTTGACCTTTGACCTTTGCATTAATTTCATGATCAAAGGTCAATGAATCTAATGCAGTTGGTCCCATGTCTCTATCACTTCTCGTTCTGAAAATTTTTAATTAATTGTAAAATTCAAAAAGTTTCAGGGGCAATAACTCATTGAAGGGGTCACCGAAGACTTTCGCAATGAATAGATTCCAGAGTCCTCTCAATTAGTCAAAGACTTTAGTGAAGGTTTCATATTTCTACGATTTACGGTTTCGAAGGAGTAGCGATAACAAGCATTTCTAGCGAAAGGGGCAATAACTTCGAAAGCGGTCAAAGTTCAAACATGGGGGGTCGTTTTTCGGAATAACTTTTAATATCCAATATCATGAACTATAAAGTTTTTCGATTAGTCTTGCGGTTTCAAAAGTCCGGGAAGAAAAATAATAATAACTAGGAGACTTATTGTTCACAGAACAATAAGAGGTCTTTCCACCTTCTTTGAATTTCAATTTTGTTTTATATCTGACTCCTTAAAATTAGATTCCATGAATAAGAAACCAAAATTGTCTTAAAGGATAGAAAAAAATGAAAATAAAAAAATGAAATGACCTTGACCTTTGACCTTGAGAAAATGCTCAAGGACA